TCAAACCAGAGAAAAAAAATTAAGAAATGCATTAAAGAAATTGAAAGAACATAGACAAATGATAAAACGTCATAGATCTAGTTATGGTTTTCCAACTATTGCTATTGTTGGATATACAAATGCTGGTAAAACATCTTTGATAAAAGCATTAACAGGAGATGCTTCATTACAACCAGAGAACAAACTATTTGCTACTTTAGATACAACAGTACATCAAGGATTACTTTCAAATAGCTTGAAAGTATTATATATTGATACTATTGGCTTTATTCAAGATGTACCGGAAAGTTTATTAGAGCCATTTCTAGTAACTTTAGAAGATGCTATAAGTGCAGTATGTACAATTTTATTTTTAAAAATTACATTTTAATTTAAAAGTGTATAAAATAATTTTTTAATTTTTTATAGGATATTTTAATTCATGTGTTTGATATAAGTCATCCTGATGTCATAGCTCAAATCCAGCATGTTCAAAAAACAATACAGTCTATGATAGATGAAAATAAAGTAATAATTAATGTTGCTAATAAATGTGATATGGTTGAAAAAAATGAGATAGAAGACGTTTTACCTGAAGATGCGTTTACCGTTTCTGCTATCAAATTAAAAGGCATTGATTTATTACAATCAAAAATACAAGAAGAAATAATACATGCTGCTAATTTAATAAAAAAACGTATTAAAGTAGGAAATGGAAGTGCAGAAGCATCATGGTTATACAAAGAAACAACTGTTTTAAATGTTGTACCTGATCCCAAAAATTCACAATATCTAATAATGGATGTATTTATGACAACACCTATATTTTATAAATTTAAACGGATTTTCAATGTTTAAATAAATTTGAATTTATTTCACTTCTGTTATATCATTTTTTTATTTCATAATTTTATTTTATTCTATTCATTTTTTTCATTTAACAATATAAAATACAAAATAGAATACATAAATAGATAAAAGTCAATATTTGATCAATTAAAATAATATTATTGATAGTGAAAAATTATTATATTAATTAAATAATTATTATTAAATAATTAATAAATTATATAAATTATAAATTAAATAATTTTTAAACCAATTTAGTCATTTAAAAAATATAAGAGAGAATTTACCTTAAAATTTTTCAGATTGAAACATCTTTTTTAACTCAATTTTTCCTTTTATGATAGTCATCTCATACACGTGTGCTGCACGTGTTTCTCTACAATACTTCTGAATACCAGATGTATGATATATAAGTTGAAATTTCAACTATATTTATCTTCATTAAATGGATTAAAAATTTTATTATATATTCGTATTCGTTACGAATAACAAATCTAAAAAATATCTTAAAATTGAGTATTTAGAAATTATTTTATTTATAAAAAAATAAAAAATAAAAATTTAATTATTAAATATTTCAATCAGTGGAACAAGTTATTGAAAAATTTAAATAAACGAAAAAATTAAAAAATATATTTAATATAATAAATTCGATTCCTTTTATAAAATATAACACAATATTTTTGACGAATTATAATTATTTTTATATAATATTCGATCAACAATTCTGATTAATAATGCAATTTCAATCGCATTCTTCTTAAATAAGTAGCACCTATAAATATATTTTTATCATGTGCAAATAAAAATTATTTGCAACTTCTTATATATATTTAGATTCTCTTTAGATTGCATTCAATAATATTTTTCACTTGCTCTTCAACGATTCATATGAATCGCATTTAATCTTATGATTTTACAGCACAAATATATATTATTTCAAAATAAAAATTAAAAAATTTTGAAATAGAAATAATTTGAAATTCTAATCAGATTTAAAATAAATATATATCGTTCAAAAATAAAATCTTTATATGAAATTTTCTATTTAAGTATATTGCTTAAGTATATATGCAAAATCGAGCAATATTTTATATAAATCAATTTATAATGCGATGCATAGATTGCAAAAGATGTATATAATTTCATGTTATCGAAGAATAAAATTTAAATATAAAAATAATCTGTATGAAAACAAAGATATAAAAATCCAACAAAATAAATGATAAATGAGATAAGAAGGCTCATCATATTATTCATACAACTTACTTTAATGTACACATTACTTACTAATTTGATGTACACATAGGAATTTTATTTTTATTAAGAAAGATGGTAATTAAACAGGATTCAATTTTATAGATGGATAATAACAATGAAATAAATGTTTAAAATTTAATGAACGATTTTTTTTATTTGAAAATTTTTTATAGCAGTTTTAAAAATAATATTTATTAAGTTTATTTATCTTATTTTTCTTATCGAATAAAAGCACGATCATTCGCCATAAGAAAATTCACGGCGAGGATATTAATAATATGATATATAAATATAATTCAGAATTAGTGATTCATGCATATATAGACATAGAAAATCGTCTCGAAGAATTAATCGCGAACATTGTTGCGAAAAGTTTCGATGTGAGTTTATTTTTCAGCAAAGGAATTAATGAAGGATTGATATCGCGATTATATAATTCTTCCCTACGAAAAGGATTTGATGTAGCAAGAGCCCGATCGACAACCAGCAAACGGGCCGCGATAATTAATTACGAGCGTGACGTCGCTTTAACGTCGTTAATTTTCATTATCTCGATTGGAATTCGCTTGTAGTGCACCGTGTACCGCTTTCGGGCTTGCTAATTTCGCGCCTCGTCTCGGCCTCTCCGCGGAAAAGGCATTAATAATTCTGGCTGTCCTTGCAAAATTTGTCACCCACCGCGGCCAGGCCGCGGTAACGTTAACGTTGGTCACGCACACCAGACACTTCGCTATGCTATGCTTTCACGGATGCAAGGATCCCAGCAATGCACTTTGCATGTTGTCTGGATTATTAAAGCGAACCAAGTGAAACCTAATTATCGTGGTGCCACTCCTGGCACTGACTCTAGCCGAACGACTAATTTCCACCGCTTTCCTACTGTTTACCGAGGTAACAAAGCAACAACTTTACATTCCCGCCGCTCCCAACCTGTGGGACGACTCTAATCTCTGTAATCTTCACATGTCTACGCGTCAGATGTATCATTACTTATCATCATTTTGAGCTTTTCGTTTTTTATATTTGCGAGAATTTATCAAGGATGAGATAATGAAATAATTGTTAAAAATTATAAATATAGAAATGGTTTCCTAATATCTAGAACACAATTTTCTGAAGAATACAATTTTCATGAGAATATGATAGGTAAAAGTATCAATGACGTATTATCATATTGTTTGTTGTGAAGTATTTGTTGTATAATAAAAATTCTTTTATGCATTTTGTTGAATTTTATCTTTTAATTAATAATGATTGTATTTCTTTTATTCAACGTATCATTTCGCCGTTTTAACGCTGTACGTTTATCTGATACTTCAACTACAAAGCTGTAGCTTAACTGGGCAACTGTAACCCAACAATTATACGAACGATTGACTAACGAATGTCGATCGGTGAGTGACTCGTATAATGCAATGATTGGCTGTCGCGCTGATTCGGTTGCTGTTACAGATTCAATTACGGCTCCCACGGCTTGATATTTTGCACCGCCGATTGAACGATCCGAAATCGACTGAATAGAACTTTGATCTCCAATCGTCGTTGGTCATAAAATCGAATTAAAGTTGACTATTCGCGTAAATAACAAAAATAATATGTCACGATTCTTATGACTTCTTTATTTAACATATTTTTAATCAAATATTATTTCGATAATATTTTTCTTTATTTATGCAATGTTTTTATATACATTATTTTAATATTTTTTCATGAATCTTTCATCATATAATGTAAACGACGCGATGCAACGCGATGAGACACTTATATGTTTAACAGTTCGTACATAACCTTACCTTAAGATTAAGTCGTTAAGTTCTATCGTGTGATGATTAATTAAGAGAGTCGCACGACACCATACCGGTTCGACGAGGCATATATTTCGTCTGTTGACAGGATATTCTAGTGATCAAGCTTCCAGAATTAATTGCATCGTTAAAGTCGTCGAACAATGTCTCGCAATGAGAAATCAATGCTCAAGTGAAGTTTTTTATGTGATATTATCGATGTTTTCGAAATGGATATTATCCAAACGAATAGCGAAGCCGATATTTTTAAATAAATAGAGAAGAATTTGAATGTTCAATTCCGTATAGAAGATATTCATATTGACAAATATCTTCGTCAAATATCTTCAGCACTGATTTCTTTCCACATCTATCGATTATGATAAAATGTAACTTGTAAATATGATATAACTATCGTTTATTTTGTAAGTTTGAAGAAACAAGTGAAAACAGATGAACGTAGACTATTAAAATATTTCATTCGTTTATACAATCACAACTCAACTTAACGGGGCGAAAGTTAGACTCGTATAATCTGAATTTAGGCCCCCCATTTTGGGTATATTTTTTATTGTAAAAAAATTCATTCTCTTTTATAATAAAAAGTGTTTAAAGTTTTTGGTTATTTATTTATATATGTTTATTTATTTTAATTCCACGAAACTAAAAATATATTATATTTTAGAATATTAAAAACACCTTTTCAATTTTAATTACATAATAAAATTTTAATTATATCATTATTGTATTTTTAATAACGATTAATATTAGTTAACATTCCTTTTTTTATAATGATATTTTAATCATAATTTATTGCACAAATATTCGCTAGGTTGGCGCCCTTGGATGAAGTTAGACGGGCCTGCCGACAAGCTCCAGCATTGGCTGTTTCGCGGGCGTGGGAGCTCTGCAGGGTTCAGTTAGTCTGCACGGGTAATAGAACTGCGCTGGGGGTGAGCATAAGAACGAAGAACGGTTAGTATATCTTCGCGAAGGGTAGGAGCAATAGCCGGTTGGCGCAAGTGCGGCGGGGATATCGTAGCCTGGCGGAGCCCAGTCGAGTCCCGTGAGTCCGGGCAAGCACAGCTATTAAGATAGTACGTGGTGGTGGTGTAGGCGTCGTCCGGGACTGAGATTTTGAGCCGCCATCAAGAAGTATCTCCACGGTGTGATTGTGCGTTTACGTGTAATCGTCAGTTCCGCGTGGTACGCATCAAAACCGGCTCGATTCGTGGTTGATTTTATTGTTTCAGAGAACTAAAAGAGCTTTATTCTGTTGTACCGCGTGTTATAAGAGTGTGTATGTGAGTGTGCGTGTGTCTGATAAAAAGAAAGGTTAGAAAGATGTAAAGAGTAAATGTAGAGAGATACAAGCGAGAGGGAATTGAAGGAAAGAGAGAATGAGAAAGAAAGAAAGATGGAATATAGTCGATGCGTATTAGTATGAGTCGAAAGAGCGGCTATTCGACCGAACCCGGCGAGGAGGAGGCGAGAGCTGTCACTTCGATCGCCATTTTAGCGCCGAGGCGGTGAAGAACCACCGGGTATGCATGCCGGCAGTGGCGACGAAACGGGGCGCCCTGACACGATGGATGGTGGTGCTGTTCGTGGGCTGTGGCTCTTTTAGTGACTTTTCTCGCGAGTGTATCTTATTGTGTTTTGGAAGAAACGAATATGCGAAACGATAGAAAAGAGCAAAGGAAAAAGTGGTAAGCGCGCGTCGATTAGAATATGTTCAGTGTATCTCGTGTCGTGTAAACTGCGTTTTATATTTGTCCATCTCTGTCTCTGCTCCAACACTTGATTTATGTTATTTTGTGATATATCATTCGTTTTAATTTAGATATATATATATATATATATATATATGTATATATATATATAATTTTTCCTATTTCGTTGTTTGAGATATGCGTTAGAAAAAATGTCACATCACATTTATCAGTGAAATAATATTTCAAAACTAACAGTTTTCAAAAACTCGATATCTTGGTTATATCAGTGAAATTTCGAATTCATTATGGCGCAATTTCAATGAAATCTCATTTTGATTAAATCAACGATCTCATGCACGCCGGTGACAGTCAAGTGTCGAACGTATATGCGCGTGGTTAATTCGAAATAGTGAGGAAGAAGAAAGGGTGCTGGTGAGAGTGAGATTTATAAGATGCATACATGTGAACGTAACGAATATGGAGGAAGAGAGAGAGATAATAAAAAGAGACGAATGAAGAAGATTGGAGTGTAGGAAAAGAGAGAGAAAGAGAGGGAGAGAATTGGGTGGCACGCACGTAGTGAAAAAGTGAGATGGAAAGCGATGAAAGAGAAGGAAAGAATGTATGCATGTATGTGTGAAAGAGTGAAAGGGGTTAGAGAAAGAGATAAACGAAGGACGGCGCCATACTGGCTCTCCGGTAGTTTCGTGGCATGTTAGGCAATCTTTCTTTCTTTCTCACTCACATTCTTGATTCAGTTTACAAGTCGTCGATCGTTCGTTATATCGCATGGAAGCCTCTGATCGATCGCAAATGGTTTTTAGGTACGTACAACGATAGGCTGTCTTTGTGCCGGAACTGAGCAGACACCTCTCCCTTTCGGATCGACGGACCTGTTTTCCACTTCATGACGGCGAAAGAAGAATCAGTGGTGGTGTCACGACGACGTTAGAACCACTTCGCTGGCCGCGTATATAAACCCGTGGAAGACTCAACTACATACGGAGGAATCGAACAGGCGCGCACGATGATTCTGCGCGTCTGAGAATACCGAAGAGAGAGGGAGCAAGATAGATAGATGGATAGATAGATAGGTAGATAGATAGATAGAGATAGATAAAACGATAGAACAGATAAAACGTGTGAAAAGAAATACACGACGAATTAAGAATTTGCGTATATATTTGTGTTTATCGCGTTCGGTAGTGGATAAAGAAACGAGTGATAACTGGCAATCTACGACAAAAAGTGAAAAAGAAATATCTAAAAGAATCTAATTGAAAGGAACACGAATGATGTTATTGTTTTATGTTATGCGTTTTTTCGATTCCTGATGATCAGTGCTTGCTTTCAGTGTAACCGATTAACAGACTCTCGCGAGTGTCTATCGATTAAATCGTCGATAGAAAATCAGAGAAGGAAGTGACAAAATTTTTTTGAAAAAAAAGAAGAGAATTAGAAAAAAAGAACGAGTGAAACGTAAAAAAAGAAAGCTATATAACAAAGAAGAGAAAATCCAAAGAAAATAAAGAAAAAAAACAGAAGAGAATAGAAAATTGGTGACGATTGTGAGTGGTCAGTCCGTGGTGTGTGACGAGAAAGTGTGTGCTCTAAACGGAGCACGTTACAAAGGAATAGAATATCGAGGACGGGGGGTCCAGAGCGACATTGGGGGGGCGTGTGAGACTGATTTTGCCCCCCCTACCCCCTGTCTATCGTCTAAAACTGTGACTTCATCGTCGTTAAGTCAATTTTTCGTCGACGTTACAACGTTGCCGTTTAGGTGAGTCACATTCCATGAATTTTTTTTTTCGCGCCTGTATACGTATATCTATCAATTTCGTCATATTTTTTTTTTCCTTTGCGTCTCATTGATATTTATTTCTTTTTTTATTCAAATGCAAATCATTTATATTTACAAAACGAAACGAAATGCAGCATTGAGAGATTGTGAAAGAAATGAATTCTCGGATCTGGAGGGTAGGAGGAATAGGCTTTTTGTTTTCTGAGGTCGGGTGAACATTATGATAACGTACAATGTCGCGTCGGAATTCATTGTACGCTTAGTAACAGGCTACGTTCACTTCCTGGCCTGCTCTCTCGTTCATGTGGAGTAAGAAACAAACAGGCTTGAGTAGAGAATAGTTCTTCTTTAAGTGTTTTGTCTGTACCCCCCTATTCTCTTTGTTTTCGTTCATCCGCCCTCCGTCGTGTACCGGTCGTGTACAATCCAGAGATCTTGCAGATTTTGTTCCTGGTTGGAAAAAAGAAAAATTCGACGTTTATTCGTTACCGAAATACTATTAGCTTCAATTTCATTATGTATACGTTGTACGTATCCATGATATATGTTCGATCTCTGTTCCAAAATCTGAACAAGAACTCGTTGACTCTGTTAATTATATTGCGATCCTTTTTGAATAATATATTTATTTCTTTTTGTTCTATCTATTTTTCTATCTATGTTCTATCTATTTTTTTTGTTTGGTTTTATTTAAACATTCAAATGAAATAATAACGAATTACAAAATTTTCCTATTATTACGAATAATATTCCGTGGTGTAATCGTGTATTCTCGTTATAGGGAGTTCTATAAGATATGCTTAGTCACACACGGTTTAGCACAAGTATCGCGATTTTATAGCGCATGAACACGTATCATTACTTAAGGTGATCATTTTCAGCGTTCATAAGCTTTGCGAGAATTATGCGGTTAATTTAATGCATGCACCACGACTTTGGAGGAATCTTGAATTAAGCTCGTGTGCTAGTTAGTCGATTTTGGTTACCTGATTTATTTATATATGATATTCGTTTAACGTATGGTTCGATTCAATTATTCTTTCATGTGAAGGAACGTTTTTTACGGGAAAACTCTTCAGAGCCGATTGAATTTTTATTCAATCGTTTTTCCCTCTTCACCTCTCTCCTCCTTTTTCCTGTTTTTTAATGGAGGAAACGAAATTCAACGATGAAACGAATATGGCAGAATTTATATTTTTGTTAACGGTGCAATTACTTTCAAAATGATTGACGTCAAATAGTATGCGCTGTTTGCGCGACCGCGTTCGTCGGATTACATATTTAGCGAATGTCTCGGCACTTTTTTTCCTTTTTTTCTCTCTTTTTTTTTTTTATTTTCGTTCCCCCCCTTCTACCTTCGATTTTTCCCCTTTCAAATATAATTGATTGACAGCGTGCAACGTTGAAATTCAATTACCGTTGATACAACGCTCGAGTACCAGTCGACTTTTGATCAATACTCGAACTACGACCGTTTTTCCTACCATGTTTCTGGCGAATAGACATACACGGGTAAAAAACATACGCGGCGGGGGGTGTCGCCTCGTCGAAACGAAGCCTGGGTCGTTGGACCACCTCTTTGAGAACGGTGAATTTGCTGTAATCATTTCTGGAAACGCTCTGGTCGATGGTTGGAATGTGTTTTTTTTTTCTTCTTCTTCTTCTCCTTCTCCTTCTCCTTCTCCTTCTCCTTCTCCTTCTCCTTCTTCTTCTTCTTCTTCTTCTTCTTCTTCTAGAGTCTGAAAGAAATTCGTAATTACACAGGTTCGTTAGCGGTTGCCCGGTATTTCGTTTTGAAGTTAATCGACGATGAAAGAATTTCGCTTGGGATCACGATGAGCGGGGGCTTAAAATACGAGCAGCTTTCGTGGCTTTGACCATTAAAAGCCGTACTGCGATGCGGTTAACCTCAAAAAGTCTATAGTTCGGCCTTCCGTCGGCTACCCTGGGCAATTTCACTGGAGAATATGAGGAAGGATAGCGGAGGAACGAGGTCGGCCGCGTATAGGCTCCTCGTCGTCCTTTTTACTTTCTTTCGTTTTGCAGTTGCATCGAAAAGGTGTTGCGCGCGTCGTTAATGAAAGCAGGCCACCGTTTTATCGTTGATAATGCTAACTCTTTAATCGTCCAACCATCCTTTTCTTTTTGTTTTACTTTATTGCCACTGGGAAGAGGAATATCTTATAAAAAGAAAGAAAGAAACTTTTGTGATCGAAGAAAACTTTAAAAAAAAAAAAGATATAAAGGGATTAAAAAAAATTTCAACGATACATAAGTAAAAGAAAGATTTGTTGTTCTCGTAAAACGTTGCTCGCGAAAATCCTTTTCAAATACACGCCTCACGTTAATCCGATCGATCGGAGAAAAAAATATGGACAGGGTCATTCAGGGTCGGAGTGTACCTGAAATAACAGCAGGGCTCGTTGGATTACTCGATGTATTTGTTCAGAGGGTTCCACTCGTAAATTGTTTCTCTAGAGCTCGCGGGGAACTGTTACCATTCTCACAGATCGAACGGCGTTTGTTTGAAGGGAAGATCCGCTCGAACACTATGACTCTTACGTAATGAGTATCAGAATTCCTCAAATATTTGTAAACACGATTTTCTTTCTTGTTCCATTGCGTATACGTACAACGATTTATTAAGAATTATCAATCAAAAAATCTGAATCTCTCAAATCAAAGAAAAATCAAAGAAGCCGCCGAACGACTTGGGATCAAATTATTGATCTTCGGGTCAAATTGTACGAAAGCACATTTGAGTTGAGTTAATCATTCGATCGGGGTAACTTGATTTCAACCGTCTTAACCAATCGATTCTATCCGATCGTTAAAAAGATCAACTTTTATTGTCCCCTTCACTTACACCGTTTAGGCAATATCCATCCTCGATATCATTCCACGTTACGAACAATGAACTATTATAGAAAGCGTGTAGAACATAAACAGAACGTGCAATGATGAAAGGTACACAAATCGTTAGAGAGAACAAGGCGCCTCGTTTAAAGTACAGATGAAACAACCTGTACCGCCTAGCTTGTATCACACAATGATGCAACTGGGCACGGCACCCTTATAGAAAACGTGGTGCACGAGGAAGAACGAGAGGAGCATGCTTCGTGCACGACGAAACCTCTATGCCTCTCGACCATAGTCAGTTATATGTATACACATATATAATATATATAATACGTACATATATGTATACGTATATATATGTAGATACCGCGTATACACGCCGAGTCCTAGATTCTCTTGATTTCGTATCCGTGAGAGAGAAGAGAAGGAAGAAACTCGCAGCACACCAGAGTCCCACGGAGGCTCTTGGAGTGTCCTCAGTTATCTCGGTTAGAGGGGAGGGGAGGGCCTCACCTCTACGATTCTCTTCTCCTGCGGTCCCCTTTCTCTCGGCCCAATCCTTTCCAATGCATCCATCTCTATACCCTCTTCTTCCTTCTCGTTTTCTCCCTTTTATCCTCCGAGCAACAAATCTATCTCTCTCTTTTTCCCATTTCAATAGATCTTGTTTCTTCCATTCTTGTTCCTTATTACGACCAATCTAATCCTTTTCCCCTCCTTTGTTTCTCGTTTCTCTTCGAATCTTCCTCCGTTCCAATTCGTTTAATTCCGTATCTTTTTCTCTCCGTCACAATTTCGAACAATTTTTGTTATATTTTTTTTTTTTTCTTTTTTTAAATAATGCTTCGTCGACAACGTTAGATAGATGATAAAACACTCCTCGCCTCCCATGTTGACGCGCTACCATTGCCCAGTGATGTTTTTTATTTGTCCCTCTTATCGATCGACAATGATAAAGTTTAATTAGACCGGCAAAGAATTCCGGAGGGAATTACTCGACTCGTTTTAATATCCCTCGCGTGTTCGACGAATTCCAAAGGAGACCGTCCGAAAGACCAGAGACCTAAGATACCTAAGTGACCTGACCTCAACCTGTTCCCCTGTTCGCTACTCTCGTTTCCATCGTCTCTCTTTCTCCCCCAACAGTGGACCCCTCCAGCCTTCTTTTCTCCATCCATCCCTCTTTCCAATCTTTCTTTTTTTTTTCTCTCTCCCTTCCCCTTTTCCTTCCATCGGAATTCATCTTCCACCTATACGTCTCCGTTCTCTTTCATCCGCGTCCTTTTCGGCTGCCTCGTTTCTTCCCCTTTTTTTCCAAAACATTATTGTACCACCGTACCATTGACTCTTGTTTCGTTCGTTTTATTTTTCGTTTACGCACGCGGTGTTTAAGAAACGATCTTTATAGGCGTATCCCTCTTGGAACGAATTAACGATTTGAGAGCAACGAATCTCGCTGTCGAATTTTGTTTGTTTTTTTTTTTTTTTTAATTTCGATCTTTGCACGTGATTATCCTTCAATTTTCACGACGCAATTACCAATCGATATCGATCGATTCGAAACGATTTACTCTTTCCATCCACTAGTTTTTCGAATTCCATCAGCATTCACGAATACGTCTCGCGACTGTAAAATATATTATATCGAGAAAGGAAAAATTCGATGCATCCGCGGCGAAGATCGAAACGTCTGTAATCGTTCTTCGATGCTGTTGCGAGTGGAAACCCGTGCACGGTTGGAATTATAATTCCGGCTTGACCGGGTGCAGAATCATCAGGTACGACTCGGGGTTAAAGCTTATCTCTTGGACTGTTCCGCGGCAACGTAATGACGAAACAATGGCACGTCTTGATCGTGCATCGAATACCACGTGATCGTGGCTGGTTCGGCCAGATTTCACTCGCTCGCCCGCCCGCTCCTTGAATATGCAACGGCATTCCTCGTTTCTGCACACTTCTTAAAGGTCTTGATGCTCGGCCATGATTTATCGCTCGAGAAACGATGAAAGGTTTATCCTTGTTTCGATTACGCGCCAAACATTCCTCCTCGAGATTTAAAAAAAAAAAAAAAAAGAAAAAAAAAAAGGAAAGAAAAATCGCTCGCTCGAAGTTGGAATTCT